CCCGCCGCTTCCGGACTGGAAGTCCCAGGCTATACAGAGGCTTGGCTTTGGCAATTTAAATAAGGTAAGGGGCCGTGCGCGCGCGCGCTCACCCGTCCTTTAGCCGGGCTACCCGGAGCTGATTTATGCGCCCGACGAAAACGACGATCGAACTTGTCGACCGGACCGGAATGAGATATATTGTGATCCGGCGGCCTCTTTCGTCCGCTCGCGTCGTTGACGTGGCTCGTGTCGCTTCTTACGCCGGGACACGCGTTCCTTTTACGGCCGCCCGAGTCGAGCTTTACGAGCGGTGACCCTCCTCGCTACACGCGTGAAATTGAAGGGCTCGTCGCGAAACGGGAAACGAGACACGGCTGTCAGGATATTTCGGACGATAGCCGATCGTTTCGAATAAATTTCGGGTAATTTCAGGGAATTGGAGGCTTTCGGACTCTGTACACTTACAGCCAACGTGAACTCCGTCTGAATAACAACGGCAGTCACTTGCTTTTCGTTTTTTGGACAATTTTTGTATCTATACATTATCGCATTTTTGTCGACAATTCATTATATTAATTTACGTAGTCGGTCATTTCTATGTACGGTTGTTAAACCCTTGCATTATTTGTAAGAGTCTTGTGACGCACCTGGTGCGTCACGTCAGCTGTGAGCAATTTTGCTCTGATTTTTAATACGATGATTTGGAGTTCAATTATAATCTGCGTTGTCAATTGCTGAATACAAAATTGACATAACATTTCGACTCTCTTTGTCACTTGAGTTTTGATCAATTTTATTCGAATTTTTAATACACTTCAACTTACTTGGAGTTCAGTTATGATCTACATAGTCAATTGCATAATACGAAATTGACATAACATTTCGACTCTCTTTGTCACTTGAGCTATGATCAATTTTACTCGAATTTTGAATACACTTCAATTTAGAGTTGAGTTATAATCTTCATAGTCAGTTGCATAATACGAAATTGATATAACTTTGTCTGTTTTAATATTGTAGCTAATTAGTTCTAACTCGCGAATATATCATAGTGCAAGGGTTTAAAAGACGACTACATTTGGATAAGCGTCCACGGTTTACCAATTTGCAATAAAGTTCGGGGGATTTTGAAGGGGAAATACGCGAGAAAGTTGCGAATTTAATTGCCACCTAATGTAATGTACTCGAGAACGATGAACGCACGGTATCCACGAGTATTAAGGAAATGATGCTCGTCGTAGCGAGAGATTCACGCGACGAAACAGTCTACGTGAGTAATTCTTAAATCCCAGGATTTACTCTAACGGACGAGAGTGCGATATTTTTCCAAACAAATCCACGGGTATCCGGTCGAAGCCTCCTAGATTTCCTCCTGTGAAAGGAGCTCGCTTCCAGAAATTTACATCCTCTTCTAGCAATTTCCGGGCCTCGAAATTCATTTTCAACAATCCTTTCAGTTACATATTTATAAATTGGTCCTTTCTACTTTGCACAATTATATTATTTAAAAAAATAATTTTGCCAATTTAAGTCTTTCTTTAAACGATTTCAATTTCCATTCAGCTGAAAGTAGCATATTACGTTAGAAAAGCACTTCAACGCAGTTTAAGAAAATTCTTTCTAAATTAAACAAAAAATCGGCGTATTAAAATTGAAAACGTAATAAAACGCATCGAAAGCTCGTTCGAGTGATCGATCTAGCCGATGAGAGATCGGGTTGCAAGTAACACCGGTAAATCCGTCACGTCAGGTGGTGCTGTGCTTCGAGAGAATCTTCTGGGACCCGACCGCTAATCTATTCGGCCACGTGGGAAGCACGACCGCGTCTCGTGGTGAGCTTTTCCTCTTCTGGAACCTCTACAAAGCTCCTGTCCTCTTGGCCTTGGTTGCCGGCGAAGCTGCCTGCGTGATGGAGAACGTCAGCGACGACGTGATCGTTGGTCGTTGCATCGCCGTCTTAAAGGTAAACCTCTTCAAACATTTATTCCACGTCCCATAAATTTGCAAGACTTAATCTTAGACGTATCAAGGTTATTCAGACTAATTCTTGAAACTCGTATGAACTATAAGGACTGTAATAGGACTGTAGAATAATATTGTAAAATCAGTTCTTTCTTCAAGGGGATGTTTTATTAGTTCAACTTATTAGACCGCGATATCATCCGAATTTAGAAGTCTGGATTTGCGTGAATTTTAACCCTTCGTACTTGAAAAGTTACTCATCATTCGGTTTAATATAACAAATTTACTATGTATTTACTAATACTATTTTGCCTAAATCTACGTTGTGTAATGTATAAACTACAGACTATGAAGTTAAAGTCAGACTACTACTAAATAATGGCAAAGTACTTGAAAAGAATTCATCAAACTTGTCAACCAAAAAGTTAACATCTGCCTCCACAGCAGAAATATCTTCAACCACAAAATTAGACAATGTCATTGATTTTACAGACAACCGTAGTGTCAGCTCTCACCGACGTGATGTTTCAGGGAATCTTCGGCAACCAAGTGGTGCCGCAGCCCCGCGAGAGCGTGGTGACAAGATGGCGAGCAGATCCGTGGGCACGAGGCTCCTACAGTTTTGTCGCAGTCGGCAGTTCCGGCAGCGATTACGATCTCCTAGCAGCCCCAGTCGCACCCCCAGCCACCCCCGGTGCTCCACCACCCCAACCAAGAGTCTTCTTCGCGGGTAAATATTTTGTCGCGATATTTTCACCGACCCCTCCTCTTGTTCTTTTTCCGCGAGACCAGAGTTAACCGGCTCCTGCCTGCAACTTTTATGAACACGCTCCAACTCGTGTCCTTTCGAGCAAGCTTTCGCGTTTGTTCATTTCTGTGGCTCTTTTCAGCCAGGATTTAAATAGTTTCGTAATGAGTTTACGGAGTCATTTTGGCTACGGCGCGGTATAATATGGGTCAGAACTTTTTAGACGTTTGCGAGACTATTTTCGAAACGTGGCTATTCAAATTTGCAAACACTTGCGTTTATTAATTTAAGCATTTTATATTAAATTTGAAGTTGGAGTTATGTGTTGAACATGTTAAAATGTAGTCTATTCAGAATTTGTCGAATACTGGATTATTTATGATTGCTCAGAAAACTTGAAAACTTCAGACATTGTTAGCAAACATTCATCAAATAAGTTTATTTCATTTAAACGAATGAAGTCATTCTTTTACAACGAATCAACTCGTTCATCTACAAAATTATTTGCTGAATTTAAATAAAATAGATGACACGCTCTAATGATACACTGATTACAAAAGGAATCTATCGAGATATAAATTGCAATAAAAAATGAGATGTTTGAGTTGAACCCTGTTCGCTACTAATTGTTGTAAAAATCTATATAGCGGGTAAGGGAAAGTTCAAAGGAGCCAATCCCGGTGAAATCTCCCCGTTATAATGGTGACTGCGTGAACACAGCCGCGAAACGATCTCTGTGCTTTCAGGCGAGCACACCATAAGAAATTACCCAGCGACCGTACACGGTGCTTTCCTCAGCGGCCTTCGAGAGGGTGGACGAATCGCGGACCAGCTTTGCGGAAGTCCGTACGCGCCACCGACGATGCCCACTTCCGGTCCAGCGTCGACGAGCATGCCTTCCGCAACCACCGGTCCCACCTCCACGCCTTAGCGATCCACCAACGAAAACGTAGCGTTCGATCGATAACGCTCCGCGTTATTCCTGCTCAGATAACGATGGGACTCGTGTCTCGTTCGATTTAACGTACCGTTAAGTTCGCTCCGTGCTCCGACCATACGAGCACCGGAAGCGCGATTTAGCTAGGAGAATCTGACCACCGGTGACGAATTTCTGCTACGATCCTACAACTCCTTTTTAAGTATTTCGCTTGTAAATACGTTAACCTCGTAATACGAATAGTTACTCGTATTGGTATTACGGTGTCTGGGTATATTTGGATTAATTTAGTTGTATTTCAAATTGAGTTCCGCCATAACTTCTAATGCTATCGGAGTGGACACATTTCGATTAATATAACATATTGTCGTATACGAGATTGCGTCTAAATATTGAACTCTAAATATATTTTCGAGATTAGTTTCTATCATCCGAATAGACCCAGGCGTCGAGGAGTAAGATCGATCTGGTTTCAGAATGGAATCGAGAATTCGAGGACTCGACTTGTTGCTACGGTTTCCTGAATTATTTAATTGTGAGATTATCCGAATATTCCCTCTCTATCCCTATGATTGTAAACTTCGTAATTTCATTTTTTATACAGAGCTTTTCATTATACGTAAATTTTTATTCGAGAAAGTTTGTTGGATAGAAGTCTAGAGAAAACTTAGAAATAGAGTCCAGCTTTAGAAACCTTGGACTTATCCTAGGAAAATGTTAGATCTTAGAAGAAGGGAAATTAAAAAAATTTCAAGATCCTTGTGAGAAACCTAGTGAACTAAATTAAATTTTTATTTCCCTCATTTTCTATACCTAATGTAAATAAAAATCTAGTAAAGGACCTTCCCGTTAAAATAACTAGGATCGAGGATCGTGGCAGGATCCTCAACCATGGTTTCATATTCCATTTCGTCCATGAAAGCAGTATATTTGATAAATCATCCCATTGAGATTTAATAATCATCAAGATCGAGTAACTCTCATAATTGATTTTCTCATTGAGTCCCAAGAATTCATCCACTGTTGCGATCCTTGGCGATTCCATCTTCGAGAAAGCTTGAAGAACCCGGGCGAAATATGAATTTAACTGAGGATCGTAGCAGACTTAGATTCATACGCTCCTATGATCCTCGATTTCTGGATCGGTTAGGAGACTCGAGGATCGTAGCGCGATTAGGTAGATCGGTTCATAATAAGAGAGTCGTGCCTTTGCTACGTTCAACCTTCATCCATACCTGCGAAACATTTAGCCTGTATCATATCGTAGGATCATTTCATTGTACCCTTATTGTATTTTACCTTATGCTTCAAGATCTCCGCATGCTTCTCGAGCGTTTCTGTCCAGACCTCGTGGTTCAGGATCATGCTTCCGCGAGACTTATTCATCGGCGACGTTCAACAAAGATGTTCTCTTGTTTCTGGATGAGGACACGTATTTTTGTGAAGTGGAAGATCAATTATTTGTAAATTACTTATTGTGAAATTACGAACGAACGCATCTCGGCAATGGCTGCCAGACATCGACGGGATTAATCATTTGGAATCACTGATCGATATTTAACATATCAGCTCTCTCAAAGCGATACGCTGCTAAGTTACGCTCGTATTGAAACAGTCTGAATAGTTCGATGGTGCGCCATGATGAGATGACTTCGTTCGAGGACCATTTGGTTCTCAACTAACTTCGGCGAGCGAGATTCGAATAGAACTCAGGAGGATCCTCCTAAACTGTCGGACTACGTCACTTCAGAGTATTTCTTGCAAACGGACACTAATGTTAGTCGCGGTGTTTACTTGTGAAAAATACTCTCGAGTCAGATTAACGATTTGATTGCACCGTTGCTCCTCTAGGTAGACAATTCCACATTATAATCAACTTTCTCCCATAAAATATAAAGGTTTCTTATAAAGCTGCTGACTTAACCTCAAAGCAATCGGTACATCTTCATCGGATGTAACTAAGATGTCCACCCATTTTGAGTCTAAGTCAACACAACCTAGCGTAACGAAGTCCATTTTGATATTTAAGCAATCAAATTGTTAGCCAACACAAAAAGCAGTCTGCAGGCGTAGTCAGACGTCCAAGCGATCAAAGCGCGCGTACGAAAGCGAGTTGCGAATTGCGTGGGCCAAGTGTAAGCGGTAAATAAACGATGAATTGTAAACATTAAGATACGTGTCGCAATTAAAGACAGAGAATTGTTAAGATAATAAGAAACCAACCACCGAGTTTGTTTCATTGCACCATCTATGACGCGTAACCAGCCGGCGCCGAGTAGCAGCTTTGCGATCTAGGGGCTGATTTATCGTCAGCCTTCTCCCACATCGTGTTCGACGACTGTTCAACCTTTGTTCAACCGTTTCGACCCATATTCCAAGCGAATATCCCCGGTGATCGAGTGTGACGCGCATTGTGCGTCTCGAGTCCCAGCTTCTTGCTCACCCTCGAGCGGGTTTTCCTCGTTGTCCGAGGAACACTTGGGGCGTACGTTAAGCTGCGTAGTAAGAACTGTCAATGTCTCAAGAGAGGATTCCTTTGGCGACTAGGTAGAACTAGGTGAGTTGGACGACGCGTTCTACCGCCACTCGTCACCGGTTTCTTTGTCCAAATGCGACGAGTCCCGGACAAAAAGTCCTCTACTGACTTTCTCACCGGGACGAGTGTCTTTTTCTACACGAGTTTCTTTTCTACGGCCGCACCATGTATGGCTGCCGATGCGGATTCTGGTTGTAGATGCCTGCGGTTTAAAGAAGACGTCGTCGTCATCGGCAGATGGTCGATGAAACTGGAGCATGGGGCTCTTCAGTTATCGAGTGACTTTCAATCACTGCGGTAGTCAGATATCAAGCTTTTGGTAAGAGCTTTTTGCTGTATAATTGACTTTTAACAGAGTGGATCATGGGTGCAACATAGGTGGAGATGTGGACGGTAAACTAGGATGTAGGTTTCGTAGTGGGAATTTATTTAGGTTATTCTGTTACTGCTAGGTTATTCTATTAGATAATTTCTGTTGCCAATTGTCAGTTCCATCAAAAGATATTTTAGTTGAAATTCACTTGGAGACAGTTCATACAGAAAATGATGGACAGGCTCAAAATTGGAAGTATTTCATTTAAACAATGAACTGACGAATTTCCTCAAATAAGAGATTTTGTAAACCGTGACACCTGACACTTTTGTTACACTTATAATTTTTCATACGGATAACCAAAAAGTGGCAGACGATTTTCATTACGCAATTTACGCATGGGGCCTGCGTTCTCGCAAGATCCCCACACTATCAAAAATTAAACGCACAAATACTCACATTAGGAGTATTTACAGGCTTCAGCGCAAGGCCTCTCGCCTGGGGGAACCACCTCGTTGATCATGGTATCCCCTACGCCAGGTTAGTATGACGCGATCCGCCTTCTGTCCCAGTGATTAGTACTATCGGTCACGTTTTCACCTGCGAGAAACCAAATCGAGATGAAACTCCATCCATCGGAATTTTGGATAAGCTGTAATAATTGACTGACGAATATGTCTGTTTGATTCAGCGGGTGGCTCAAACATTTATCGTTATTATTCGCAAAAATTGGTTTCCACTTTCTGTCTGTATTAAAAGGATCTGTTTTTAGCTGAAGGAAAATCGAAGAACTTACATGGCAAAAAATTTAAAGAGTAACTCTTGAGCAAGGAGTTCAAACTAGTTCTTTGTTCAAGAAATATATTGAACAGTACATTCTTCATGTCTGATCAGTCAACTAGGTATAATAGTTGCGATTATTCTGATAAAGTAATTTATGAAAAGGGTGTAATTTGTATTGACCGATTAATGATAGTTATTTGTGGAAGTTCGTTTCCCAAAATTACTGCATGCACACGTTCGTAACGCAAAACGAAAACACAAAGCAATATTAATTTCGGAATTCCATCAGGTCCGAAGTACGGTAACAGTACAATTTCTGTCCGTTTTGATATTTACTCAGCCGTTCTACATCGGCTTCAATAATTCATAGCCATCGACAAGTACACGGGATAAGGCAAACGATCTCTATTCCGACGTGTTTCACACAACGGAGACGCGTTGTTTCAACGTGGAATCGAGACCGTACCGTAATTCTCGACTCGTAGCCGAGCACTGCGAAATTTCCTGCCTAAATCGGGGATATTGTGAGCTTGATTACTTCGATATAGATATTGCGTTACAGCCATGCCCGGGGGCGTGTAATCGAACTACGCGGAGTCTCGTAAACTCGATGAACTCGAAAGACGAGCCACCGTCGAAGTCTCGAAGTTCTGACGGCGTGCAATGTTAGCACTTTGCCGTGGAGTTCGCTTTTAACCCCCTACCCTTATCTCGCTGCAGACCCTGCGTTGCTCTTGCTTCTGATCCGACGATTTCCCTGGATAATTACTTTTCCCCTGTGCAAACGGGACCACCCCTTCGATAGCTTGTTCGCGAGTGAATTTTAAAATTGCCTCGAATCCCGATTCTGTTGGAGCGAAAAATCGGCATGATTCGAACCCGCCGGGTTTCGCGATCATCAGACCTTTCCAACTTTTTATTCTTCAAATTCTTGCACTTCGACAATGAGGTTGGACAAAATATAAACGGGAGAAATTAAAAAATTGCGAGCATGCGAAAAAGGGAGAAGTAAAATTAATGGACACGATATGCTAATATAATACATTAACGTTATATGCAAATTGAAGAATCCGTCAGGTTGATTCCACGAGCAATAATCTTTCCGATCGGAAATTACAACGACCGATCAATATCACTCCATAAAAGTGTACGCTCGTAAAAAGCCCGAATTAAGAAGAATTTCATAACCCAATCTCATTTTTCAATACTTCTGACACCTGCAAGGTGCTTAATTATATCTGACACGCCAGAAAAGTGTTCGACCCATTGAAGGCCCATCAATATACTCGAACGACGTAATTACGGCGCCAGAGACGGTCCTTTCAAACACCTATTCTCCGTCTTGAAACACATTTCGCTGCAGTCACGTTCAAGGCACCGGCCGAATGAACCCGGTCTAAACGCGTTGTGAACCGGTCCTAACGGCTCGATATTAATTCAATAGGTCTGAAGATTGTCATAGTAACGGCGAACCTATCGAAGTTCGCGAAACGTTTCGTCGAATCCATTCCCGTTTAACCGCAGAATGAGTTCCTTTCCGACGTACTTTTTAAAATGTGGTCCTCTGAAACGGAGGAAGCAACCGCAAACGGTGCCCGGGACCGTGAACGTACCCCTGGGATACAGACTCCACGAACGTTGCGATTGCAAAATCCTACCTCTTCCGGAAAGCTTCGAGCACTTCGAAGAGGAGAGGCGGAGAGAATATGAACATCTGATCAAGATTTTGGACTTCGAGGAGCAGACGAACAGGAGGATCAGAAAGAAGAAAGTCTGGCAACGCGTTCAGCAAGGTACTCGCGAGGAATGATAGAAAAGTGTGTTTTCGACGTCCATACACGTAAGTGTGCGGAGGTTCATTAAAACCTTGAAGAAGTTTATAGAACTTCATTAAAATTTTCATAGAAGTTTTTCTATGAACTCGTAAGGAAGTTCTCGTAATTATGACTGCTCCCCATGAAACGTATGCTTCTCAGAATAATTCCATACGAATGAAGTTACCAGAAATTACGAGCAATCGCGATTTCTCCGGTATTTCCTCGAACCTCATTTCCATCTTTCCCTGCTAATAAACGACGAGCATCAAAGTCTCCAATTAAGGGAAAGATTGTTACGAGGATATCATCTTCCCTACAACCGTAAAACACCCCGTAGTAGGGACTCGTCGGTGATAAACCGCGCGATCTGATCGACTAATTATTCCTCAGGTTTGGCGGAGCACGAGGACGAGGTGAACGAGCGGCGCGACAGGTTGCGGGAGCTGTTATTGCGCGAACAGATGAATTTGACTCGCGAGGTCGTGTATCAAGCGCAACACGGCGACGACGCGAGGATGGACGAAATGCGGCAGAGGAACGCGGAGTTGAGAAGGGAGCAGGAGGAGCAGCGTCTGGCGATCGTGGCCGCGAAGAGGATGCAGCAGTACCTGGAGCAGTGTCCGGAAGCTCGAGAGAAGATCGCGAAGAGGTCCACCGTCCAGGCGAAGATGGGTAACCTGGCTCAGATAGCGGACAACGAGGCGAAGAAGCGAGCCGAGAAGGAGTTGGACAACCTGTGGCACGAGCTGATGCTGAAGGAGGTCGAGATGAAGAAGGAGAGAGAAGTCGAAGAGGCCAAGAATCGCTGCGTCATCGAACAGACGAATTTGTCCACGTTGGCCAAGCAGATGGCTGGTAAACTAGCCCTCAAAGAGCACAAGAAACAGGTGCAGCAGGAGGACAAAGAGTATATGGAGCAGTTGATGAAAAAATTCCGAGAAGAGGAGCTGAAGAGATTGGAGAAGGAACGCGAAGACAGAGAGAAGCTGAAGAAGGACCTGCAGGATCAGATCTTGGTCGCGAAGAGGCAACTTGCGGAGCGAGCCCGACACGAACAGGAAATTGATAGGTTAAGACAGACTTTGGCCGAGGAAGAACTGGCCAGAGAGAGGAGCAAGATCCAGGAGACCAGCGCGGCGCTCCGCAAGGAGCTGCTGGCTTATTTGCAGTACCTCGAAGACCTGAGGAAGGAGGAAGCCAAGAGGAACATCGAGGTAGACCGCATAGTGCAGCAGTGGATGAAGGACAGCGCGGACGAGCGCGACCTTGCGAAGAAGAAGTTCAAGGAGTTCCAACAGAGGAATCTTCAGGAGGTGCTTCGAGCCAGGGAGGAGCAGCTGAAGATAAAATGCGAAAGGGAGAAGCAGGAAATGGAGCAACGGCGATTGGAGAAGGAGGCACTGGAGATGGACATAGAATTAAACGCGAAATTAGCGGCTCACGCTAAGGAACTGAAGAAGAAGAAGATGTTGTGTTACAGAGGAGAACTCGAGGAACAGTGGAGGCAAACTGACGAGGCGCGTCGCAGGGAAAAGCAGGAAGATATCGAACGAGTAAAACTTGAAGAGTTGAGGCAGCAACAGGAGTACGAAAAACTTACGGATGAATTGTTGAACGCTTCGGAAAATATTGTACCACATCCGTTTAAGATTTTGCTGAAACAGTGCGCGGCTCGTTACGCCGCGGAAAAGGAGGGACATTGTTACTGCCCTCCTCCTTTGTCCGAACAGTAATTTTAATTCTACCGATGCTTTTGTAATTTTATATGTACTTTTATATCGAAGTGACTCAGGGAATTGAAAGCTTTTATAACGATGTACCGCTACTTTCCTAAATTTCTGAATTTGAAGATCCGGATTTTCCTCGTCAGAGTTTGAGTACTGTTTTTCCCGCGCCGAAAGGATCCATGATCTTTGTGCGGGGATCTATAGCGCTCTTCGGACAACCTGTACCATCTGTCCCTCGCTGTGGGAAGCTCGGAACCAACCTCGATTGCCGATAAAGTAGAACTCTGCTTCATTATCGATTCTACATTTTTATCTCCTCGCAAAGTCGCGCCCCTTTTAAAAAGATCATACGAGGGCAGTTTCAAAATACGAATATATCGTATCAAAAAAGATTAGAGACTTACAAAAATATTGCAAAATAATTTTATATACAAAGAACATGTAGAGAAATATTGCATTTCATGTATAAATATATCCTTCCAAAATGAAGCTGTTTAATAACATCTGTGTACCACAAAATCCAGAACCCTCTTCTGCTAAGTACCATAACGTATCTCAACCTACATTAAAATATTTCCCATAATTTCGAGGGGAAATATCACTATAAGAGCATCCCCTAACGATGTAAGAGATACGGTTTAGGGTGGTATGCTTCTAAGTAAAACCCACTTAACTCAGAATTTCAAGGTAGAACACATCGTTGCTCTTCGCGAATCGTTTCAACGTTGTTCGTATACGTGCTTTCCCCGTCATTTTCCGGGCTGATGCACGCTTGTTCTAAGAATGTAAATGCGTGCACACGCGAGGCGATGTTACAACAACACCTTTGCGCTCGCTGACGAGCTCAGATTATCTTTATAACGATGGAAAAACTTGAACGCGTCTTACCCCTCGTCCCTTCAACTTTTGTTACACCCTTTTATCGCTTTTTAGCCTCACCTGTCCTACTACCTGCGTTTTTTTTCTTCGGAGAAAAACCCTCGCCCTTTGCTTTTCTTCTTGTACGCGCGTGAATAGGCCAGGCGACTAATTGATTATGTCTTTAGAAGAACTCGGACGGAACGGATTCTTTTCCCTGGAGAGGGTTAGTCACGTTCTACAGGGTGTTTCTTGATTAATCTTGAGATAAATGTTATTAATTATATGGTAGCCTATGAAAATTCCTATGATATTGTAAAATATAACTGTTGTAAAACTGATTTCGTATTATTTGTCTGAGGAGTAACGTACAGAAGATCGAAGATTATCCGATTAAACGAGCAGTTCGAATTTTGACACACTTCGATTATCCGAGGTATAAAATGATTGCACCGAAGGTTCGTCGCGGTGAAAGCGATTTAAATATTTGCTAGAGATGCTTGTTGCAAGAAATTTAAACGACCACGGTAGAAGCGAAACTGGTTAATTGATTAGTTGATCCACTTAACTCGTCGACGGGTCTCTTGAACTTAAGTGAAACTTTATACAAGAATATATTACAGTGAAATATTTACCGCTGGCAGCTCGGTGGATCAAAATTCGCTGGAACTAATTAGCTGATACGTGGACCAGATCGAATATACAACGTATCAATTACTGAATATAATTGTACCTTATTAATTATTATTATTATTATTACTCGTATTGTCGAGTTTGAAAAAGTAACACATACAGTCTTGTTGAATTAAATGTATTGTCAGTGAGCTTGAATAAAATAAACCTATACTTAGGTTTAGCGTGTGGGTGTCGAAGAAGGTGTATTATTATTTTATTACTCGTACTGTCGAGTTTGAAAAAATAACACATACAGTCTTGTTGAATTAAAGAGAAAATTAAATGCACTGTCAGTGAGCTTAAATAAAATAAACCTCTACTTAGGTTCTGCATGTGAGTGTCGAAGAAGGTGGAGTATTATTATTACTCGTACTGTCGAGTTTAAAAAAGTAACACACAGTCTTGTAGAATTAAAGAGAAAATTAAATATATTATCAGTGAGCTTGAATAAAATAAACTTATACTTAGGTTTAGCGTGTGGGTGTCGAAGAAGGTGGATTATTATTATTATTACTCGTACTGCCGAGTTTGAAAAAGTAACACATACAGTCTTGTTGAATTAAACAGAAAATTAAAGGTATTCTCAGTGAGCTTGAATAAAATAAACCTATACTTAGGTTTAGCGTGTGGTTGTCGAAGAAGGTGGATTATTATCATTATTACTCGTACTGTCGAGTTTGAAAAAGTAACACATACAGTCTTGTTAAATTAAATGCACTGCAAGCTTGAATAAAATAAACCTATGCTTCAGCACGTGGGTGTCGAAGAAGGTAGATTTTTAATTAGCGTAGTACAAAAATAGCGGTGGATATTAAAACAAGGGGTAAAGTAGTTTTGTTGGCAACAAACAAAATTGCGCGGGGTTGTCCCTGGCGACAGGATCGTCATCAGCTCCCTCGATCGTGAAAGTTTCAGCCCTAACGAGCGGTTCGAGGGGTTAAACGGGCCACTGTTTCAAGCGGGCGGATTCGAACGTGTACGCAACGAACGCGTGCATCCGTCGACGCGTGTGATTGATCGAACGGCGAGCAGGCATTGCGGTTTGTCTCGGCCAGCCGACGTTCACCCCCGAGGTTAGGGGTTGCAGTTGTCGCGGCCGGCGATCGCTTTGAACGTCGCGTAACCAGGAGCCGCAGAATGCCAAGACTTTTTCCCTCAACGACGAATCGTCTCGCTCGGATGCCCCGAGGCGGCTGCACCTGCACGCGTATGCACTTCTCTGCGACAGACACCGCCCTCCCCCGGGGCCACAGAGGAACAGACAGTCGGCGACAAAGGGAAATAACAGGGAGGGTGAAAACTGAACCGGGTATGTTGCTAAGAGAAATAGAGTTGTAATAGAGGGTGGGAATCAAGGAGACCACCGGGGTGGGGCGAAACGAGAGAGGGGATGTTTAATAATGACTGGAACTTCTATCGGGTAACGATTTTTGCAAGTGTACATTTTTATACTTCATTTTTGTGAACCGGGTAAGTGAAATAGAGTTGTAATAGAGGGTGGATTAAACGAAAGAACGTTTAATAACGATTTTCTACGGTACGATAAAATTTCTATCGATTTTATTCTTGCGAGTGTACATTTTATACTTTATTTTATCAACTGTTTCATTCGAATCATCATGGTCGGGTAACTTTTGATAAAATGAACAGTGGATTTTCGATACGGAATGTTCCAAGAGCAGCGTTCTTATACGAACATTTTATTATTCTACTACCAGTTTTATTCTTTCACCGGAGATCCGAAGCTTCCGCGGGCCGGTATTTGGTGAATACCGTTATAAATTATCGAATGAACAGAAAGCAAATAAAGAGAAGGATTAAAACCGCCAGTACACGATGCCAGCGAAAGTGCAGAGGGAATACAAACGGAAATATAATAATGAAAAGAGAGAAAGTTGATCGAAAGGGGGTGTCTAACGAGGAAGGGAGGAACAAGCGGAGAACGGAAGTAAAGGGTAAAGAGCGTAGCAGGGAGGGAGGGTGAACGGGGATTGCAGAGTCGCAGGAGCGAATGGACCTCGCCTCTGGGGATGTTCTTTTGACAGTCATGTCGCTGTCGTCTCCTAAGGTCCCCGGCGGCGTTGCATTAATCTTCTTCTTCCGACCCCGCCTTATTGAAAATTCTACAGAGCACCTCACGGTTTTTGCTTTACCGACCCGCCCTTTGTACCCCGACCGACGCCACCCTTGCCCCGCGGGACACCACCTACGAATTCACCTGTGCGAACTCGATCGTCGCGGCTTCCGTTTCGTCTCGTCTCGCGTTTCCTCGCAGAGCTGGACCTCCACGGTCCCCGAACAACCCAAATTGTCGATGAAACTTACGGTCGAAACTATCGAATTTACAGCCCCGACGACGTTATTTACACTCCACGCTAGGGCACGTCGTGTTCGATTTACTTTGACGATCGGCACGTCGAGTTTACTTGATTCCGTTAACACGTTCGCTGTTACAGGCAAAAGTTACGAGTTCGCTATTGAATTTACCTCTGGACGGGATGAAAATCGTGCAGAGGGTTTCTTAGAGGATTGATGCCGGAATTCGAATTGCGAAATAGGGGAAATAGGGAGTTGCAAAATAAGCTAGAAGTGTTTGGACCGATGACGCTGCGATTATTGTGAAGAAACATTGCTATGATGTTTAATTCCCTGCGTTTGGGGCTCTGGTACGGCTGGACATTAAATATAGAAGAATCAATAACTTGGAGAATTTTTTCATTATTTCAAGTTTTTAATATCTCTTAAGTTTACATTGAATTTAGTAAACTATTAAATCATGTCTGTGTATTATTTCAAAATATTGTACCTATATTGCTGGATGTAGTGCCAGTGTACATATTGATTGTCAGTGAATGTGCTGGTATATTGTGGTTTCAAGAGTTCAAGTATAAAATAGCGTTTTTAAAAATATATTTTATTTGTTCCTAACTGATTGCACTTGTTCGGTGTACCAAATATTGCGGATGTTTGTGTTGATGATCAGACGATGATTGTGAAGAAACATTGCTGTACGTTGTTTAATTCCCTGCGTTTGGGGCTCTGGTACCACTTGACATTAAATATAGAAGAATATTTTGGTGAATTTTTTCTTCATCTTTTTTTCAAGCTTTTAATGTTACAATCCCTTAAATTTACATTGAATTTAGTAAACTATTAAATCATTTTTGTGTACCATTTCAAAATTTTGTTCCAATACTACTACATGTAGTGCCAATGTACGAATTAATTGTCAGTGAATGCGCTTTGAAGAGTGTTCAAGTAGAAAACAGCATTTTTAAAAATCAATTTCATTTGTTCCTGACCAACTGATTGCACGTGTTTGGTCTACCGAATGTTTGCATTTATGATCAGACGCTGGGATGATTGTGAAGAAACATTGCTGTACGTTGTTTAATTCCCTGCGTTTGGGGCTCTGGTACCACTTGACATTAAACATAGAAGAATCAACATCTTGATGAATTTTTTCAAGCTTCTAATGTTACAATCCCTTAAATTTACATCGAAGTTAGTAAACTATTAAATCATTTTTGTGTACCATTTCAAAATTTTGTTCCAATACTGCTACATGTAGTGCCAATGTACAAATTAATTGTCAGTGAATGCGCTTTGAAGAGTGTTCAAGTAGAAAACAGCATTTTTAAAAATCAATTTCATTTGTTCCTGACCAACTGATTGCACGTGTTTGGTCTACCGAATGTTTGCATTTATGATCAGACGCTGGGATGATTGTGAAGAAACATTGCTGTACGTTGTTTAATTCCCTGCGTTTGGGGCTCTGGTACGACTTGACATTAAATATAGAAGAATATCTTGATGAATTTTTTCTTCATCTTTTTTTCAAGCTTTTAATGTTACAATCCCTTAAATT